TCCTGGGGCTGGATTGTGGATAGTGAGGGATGACATTCAGCTTTTATTTTGTCCACCCTCTTGTACAGGAACCACAGTGGGAGCTCAGGTGGGCAGGGACATTCTCTGCCACAAATAACAGCCCCTCCATGGGCAAGAAGCCCTGGGACTGCAGGTTTTCCTCTCCAAAAAAAAAAAAAAAAGGATCATGTGGCCCAGTAGAAGTCAAGGAGCAGGAATCTGGTGCAGGGTGCTTGAAGGAGCTCTGGCAGTGGGCATCTCTTATTTTCATTTAAAAACCCATTCCTCTGGCACTGATCTGGAAGCTCTCCTTGGTATGACACGTTCACACACACATCTGTGCTTCTCTTACAGCCTTCAGGGAATGATGGGCCTCTGGGTGGGAAGTTGGCAGCAATTAAAGTGAGGCCAGGCTGTTTGGTAGGCATCCCCATCTTGCAGCAGTCCTGACCTTGCTCATCTGTACTATTTTTTAGGATCCCGTGGTAGATTTTGAAAGTAGCAACGTGTCCAGCAGCTGTGTCCAGCAGAAGCTCCATGCTCCAGGGAGGTGCTGAACAGTTCACATGCATGAACACCGAGTGAGAGCTGAACATGAGCACCGTAACTTCTGTCCTGAAACTTCTGAAGGAAACACTTCATGGCTTTGGATCACACAGCTCAGCAACTGCCTGTGAATGAGGGACTGTTCACCTGGTCATGCTCTTGCTCTGCTCTTGCTGTTTATTCTGGGAAGCAGAAGCCTCCCAAATCGATCTGGAAAGTGTATCAACGAGATGATTGTTTTTGGATTGACTCCTCCCTGGCTCATGGAGCCCTACAGGGTTATCTCTGTGCGTATGCTTTAAGGCAAATAATGAAACTAGTGGTACTGCTATGTTGCTCATCAGTGTTGGACATTTTTAACCATATATGATCAATAAATGATGAATCACCAATGAATTTATGTTAAGGTGGGGCAGAAGATGCTCCCTGCTCAGGAACATGTCATCTCCTTGCAAAGAGTCATTGTCAGCAGCCTCAAAAGGAATAGAACCACTGTCTTCCAACCGTGAACCTCTGTTTCCTTTCTCAGTATGCACAATACAAATAAAAATAATTTAGAGGGTTTTTTTTTTTTCCTTAATGTTGACATCTCTCTCAAATTAAGGGGGAAAGAAAAGGTCTTAAGAATATGAAGGTCTCTGGGCCGAACTGCTCAGTGCTTCCGACTCAGAGGAAGTCTTGGTGGAATTGCTAGGGTGTGGGAGTACCTACTCATTAGGATTAAAGTGCCCTTGTGGTTTTCATTAATCCACTTTGGGATGCAAAGTGACAACAGCATCTTTGTGGGGGATCCATCCGTGTGGGGAGCCTGGTCCCCCCTCTGCCCTGCCAAACCCAGAGCTGCCCCGTGGGAGCCTGGTGGCTCTCCTGTTTAAATCGACAGGGTTTAAGTCCCGCTGGTTTAAATATCAGGTTTAACTGGGGCTTGCCTGCATATCAAAGGCACTATGGTAATTTTTATGAGGGAAAGTGCGGAGGGAAAGTGTTTGCCTGGTGCTGTCCAGGCTCCTCCCTGCTCCCTGCTCAGCGCGGTGCTGAGTCACTGCCCTTCCTCACCAGGAGCCTGCACCCTCCTGGTGCTGTGTTTGTGCAGGATGGGCTCAGCACCCCAGCCTGGGGGAGCCCCTGCAGAAACAAGAGCTAAAAATGAACAAAAAGCCTTCCTGATTCGCTGGTATTTATTTACGTGCTGCCGTGCGTGGTGGGCTCCACTCTGGCACCTGGATTGTGTGTGGACTGGGCTTGAACTTTTCTGGAGCCAGCCATCTGCTTCCTGCTGGTGTGTTGGTACCTCGCTGCGCCTTCAGTCTCCCTCCAATCTGCACAAGATTTATGGATGGATATTATATAGATTTAACACAATAGCATGGGTTTTATTATTTGCTGGAAAATGTTAATAAACCCCAAGTATTACAGATGCATTTTAATCCCTGAAGTGATTTTTGAGTAGAATGCATGAATTATTAATTGTTGTTATTGTTATTATTGCAGTGCATACCTACCTCACAGGGCATTGTGAGGATTAATTAATTATTGTAAAGATGTAAAAGGCCGTATAGGTGTCAAGGGTTATGACTAAAGTGCTTTGAAAATGGAAACCACTCTGCAAGTGCCAAGTATTATTATTTATGGAGTCCAGGCAGTGTGCTTGGTGCTGTGCAAACACTGGGCCAGTTATTGCAAATATTTGCTTATATGTGCTTGGTAGGCCGAGCACTCCCTGTTACAAGTCATTTCAACTATTTTAAGGATGCGTCTTAAAAATATGGGCATGAGAAGACTTTCCAGTCATTGGGATGATGGATCCACTGGCTGCGAGCAGCTGTGTCACTGAAGAACTTCAGAAAGCGTGCTTTTATTCAAACACACAAGTGAACCGAGACCTCGGATCTGCTCCAGTTATACATCTGAAAGTTAGGGTTTTGTCCAATCTTTCTTGCTGCTTTGGGAAGTGTAACAAGAGTTATTGTTTAGAAGTGGCTCTCCCAGAGGGCAAAGCCAACTCCCTGAGCTCAGCTCGCTCACTGAACAATCTGCTGTAAACCACAACCTGCTCAACTGCCCCGTGTTGCCCAACATCCGTTCTTGGAAACCTCTGAAAGGGAGAGCCTCCTTCCCATACGCTCTGGAAGTGTCCCCTGTAGCCCTGAATCCAGCTGCACATTTGGGCAAGAGAGCTGCAAAGGCTAAAGCTCATCACAGACAGTGAGAGGCGTTTGTGCAGTCCTGCGGGGTGTTTGCCTTCGTGAAAAAAAGGAAACCAGAACAAAACAGATGAGGGACGACTATTAAAAGCACAAATCCACCAGAATTCACTTTGTAGATTCTGCAGAACAGAACTTCTCGGGAAATTGCCCAGTTGAGCACATCACCATGTTAAAAAAGAGAGCCTGGCACCCCAGAGCCGCGACCGAACATTTGGAGAACACCAGACCACGGAAACCTTCAGCCAGATGACTTCAGCTCAGCACGTTGTCGCTGCTCGGCAGATGGATGGGAAGACAGTGTTTGTAGTTCCTGAGGGCCAAACAACGCACACTTCAGGGATTTTCCCTCCCCCGTTTCTCACACAAGCTTTCTGAATGTCACACCTCTCATTCCCATTTCATGGACTTCTCAGATATCCTTCTCTAGGCCCCTGCTGTCCCCCAGTCCCCCAGAAGAATTCCCTTTCCTCTTGCCTTAGGCTATGTGCATATTCCCATTTCCCTTCCTCCACACACTGTTACTGCTTATCTTCTTTCACCTGGGAAATAAATCAGAGTATCAGGAGGTCAAACTCCATTAGAAGCATGGACAGATCTAAGATTATAATGTGTGAATGTGTTAATGAGTGCATTGCCACTTTTCCTTCCCCTCTTAAATTTCTTGACTTTCAGCAAATTTCGGAGCTAGACTGGATATAGTGTTCAAAACTATTGCCTCTTTACATACCTAAAGCAGACAGCCTCCACACCATTAGTGAGAAGAGAAAGTTGCTCACTTGGGCCACCAAAGTCATTACACAAATAAATGCTGGACACCAAGATTTGCAATTACAAATGTGCTTCCTGGCTTCCTAGAGAGATTTAGGTTTCTCTACATGACTTTGGCCTGTATTTAAATATTTTTCTTCAGAAAGGAAGGAAAAACGCATGGGTTTGACCCTGAAGAAAATGAGTACTATGAGAGGATTCTACACCCAGAGACCTACCCAAAGCTTTGTGGAGTGGATGGACTCCATCTGCTTGTGTGATGATGCTCAGGTAGGTAAAATCTGCCTATGGTATATCCCAGGTGTTAGACTGAAGGTAAAATCCAGAACTGGTGCCTTAGGACTAGCATAATTCTCTGGCAATGGTCTATTCACAAAAAAAAAAAAAAGAAAAAAAAAAAAGAAGACGAAAGAAAAAAGACACTACATTCATGACCAGCTCTTTATGCACTGCCAGCTGCAGCGAAATCAAGCTCTGAAATTGAGTGTGGTGATGTGGAGATGTGGACACCCTGTTTGAGCAGCACCAGAGCTGGGCTGGGGTGTGTGGAGCTGGGATAACATCGGATATTTCCATCGGATCCGTGCAGGGTTTGTGGTCACTGGGACTCTGCACGGGTGCCAATGTCCGGACATGAGAGTGCTGGACCATCGCCCAAGAGCGTGAAATGCTCTTGCAAAACCATTTTAAGATGGAAAGGGCTGCCTGGTGACGAATGTGGTTTTGATTAACAAAGCTCGCTTTCAAAAACAAACAATGCGGCCCTATAGATGACAAACAGCATTTCAATTGTAAAAATGAGCAGCACCCAGGTAGGCCATTGCGTTAGTGCTGCGGAGGATTATTTTCATGAAAGGAGAGGGCAGAGGCGGTAGCGCGGTGCCCACACGGGGCTGGACCCCGGTGCCAGGTGCCATCGCCAACCGCGACGGGCCGCGAGAGGCAAAACCACCATGTTACATCCTGCATTTACATAAGCCCTGTCGGCAGCGCAGTTTAACGTCTTTCCCAGAAAAAGCTCCGCGGCCTGGGCCCGCCGTGCCCGGCCGCCTCCCTCCGCACGGCCGGGGAAGGCGGCGGCCCGCGGGCTCCCGTCCGACCCCCGCGCCGGGCTCCTGCGGCCGGCCCGGCCGCTCCTCCTCGCCTGGCCTCGCCTCCCGAGGCTCGCCGCTTCCCTTCCTCCTTCCTTCCCTCCCTTCCCTCCCTTCCCTTCCCTCCGCCGGCGCCCATTTCGGCGCGGCCGGGCACCCGGAGTGTCTGCGGGCCGCCGGCTGCTCCGCGCCGCTTGGCTCCTTCCCCCAGTAACAGCTCCCACATTCCGCCCCGATCCCTCCTCAATCTCAATCACACACACACATATTACTTTTTTTTTTTTTTTTCCCC